AATTCACCTCTCCCTTTAGTAAGGAAGAAAAAACCCCATCCTTTTGCAGCTAAGCCCTCGTAAAACACTATTTCATTCTTAATTAAGGTGTGATGCTTCTGGGAAGGTAGCGCCAGCAAACAAGAGGAAATGCTACCTCTTTCAATGTGTTTAGAGAAGGCCTGTAGAACTGGTTTGGGGACTGTAAAAAGGTGAAACTTGTACAAGTTTGTATGGAGCCTCTGTGGCAGGACTGTCCAACTTCACAGCAGCTGGGGACTGCCTGCCACATGGGCTGGAACCCCAAGGACCATACTAATGCATACATGGGCCCTGGGGATACACCCCCTGCTGCACTATGCATGCAAGAAGTCTACCCTGGGCAGTACTCCCATATCACCTCCCTGGCTGTAGACTCCCCTGCTTCACTGTGCTCCGAACACCCACTGTGCTGCAGGTTGCACCTCCTGGAGCAGGATCAGGAAACAAAAGAGAACCCAGTTGCAGCAGGAGCCAGAGTGAACAGAGGAGCAGTGGCTAGGTGGTAGCCTGGAGGCTTCACATGAACTCATTAAGGGTCACGTGTAGCCTTCAGGCCACCAGTTGGGCAGCCCTGTTCTATGCTATGCACAGCAGATAAAACACTGGAAGGCAGATAAAACAACACAGTACACTAAATAAATAGAAAGATGTTGCTACATGCAATGTGACAAGAATAAGGAAAAAACATCCTATATTCTTACCACTGCAACACTTAAAAATTGCCAAAATGTTAGAAGTGCCATTTCATTCAAGCATCACCAGCATACATGTATGCACACACTATTACTTACAAATCAAAACTTTGGTTTTTTATATTTACTTTATTTTTCATTACATGCAAATGTCATGTAATTTATCTGCATTTTACAGGTATTCAAGCCCCACTGACAAAGTTTCTTTGCTAAGCATAAAATCACTGACTCAGGTAAGTTAGTTGCTATGAACCTACAGTGCTTGAGGGGTTTGTGGAATATCACACACATTTTCTTGAATTTGTTTTACTGACAGGACATATGTAGTCTCTGCATATAGATAGTGTTAAACAGTGTTTAGCCTTATCATCCTTATATTTATATGACTTTCAGTATTGGATCTACATTTATGTCTTAAATTGTACTAGGGCCAGGATCACATAATGAGTCTCATACCTGGAAAAGGATTTAAAGCCTTAATGGCTGAAGATTGGTAATCAACAGTATCTGATGTGAATATGCCAATATTAATATTAAAAGGAACTGGTAACAGTATCACTTGGCTATTCAGGTATTGGGGGTGGGGACATGACATTTCTTATCGTGGGGAAATTAAAAGAGAGACAATTTAGTTAGGATATTGGATTAGTAATCTTCATGTGTGATGCAAATATTTTCCCTGTTTTAATTGCATCTTTGGGGTGAGCAGGAAGTCTTACACAGTCTGAGCTCCACCAGGATCTAATGGTGATGTATGTAAATTGCCAGATAAGAAACCATACTTAAGCTTTGTCCTAAAAACAAGTCTTGGTCTTTAGGTTTGTTTTTTTCTCTGCAAGCATAGGGAAACACTGGAGTCCCTCAGCTATTGGTGGAGTAGAAATGGCATTCTTGGATTTAAGATTCAGGGTTACTGGTTACTGGTCTGATATTTCCTTTTGTTTGATTGTTCTTATATCTCTGTCTGTATCTCACTATATGGTTACTGATTTCTTATGTTTGCTCTTGTTTTCATAATAAATCTTAGTGTTCTCTTTATTATCTGGCTAAGTGTGATTTCAAAGTCTTTGACTTCATAGGCAGACTTTGTCTCCAGAAGGGGGAACCAATTTTTTCTAGTGCCTGACCAGGCAAGGGTGTAATTCTTCTAACTGGTAAAAGTGCCTTTGCCAAGGACTGGTAAGACCTAAGTGAGAGATGCAAGTCTGAAGTATCACAAGCCAAAGAGTTGGCCCCTGGAACATCGCAGCTGGTTCTCAGTGGTCAAGCAGCAGATGGCAGAAAGGGGCTTGGGGGAAAAGGGCACCCCTGAAGCTGTGGAAACACCCTGGAAATATGTCTCAAAGGTTCCCCTGGCTTTGTGTGGGACCAGGGCATGTTAGATTAGTGTCTATAGTACTGGGGACAAATGGAATGACACATATAACAACTACTTATTGCATTTATCACGGTTGTTCTTCAGTTCACAACCACTCTTACACATAACAACATAGTCAATTTTAAAAAATAATGAGGGATTTTCATAATTAAAGAAAACAAAATGAGGCAAAACCAAAACCACTTCATTTTTATACTATTATATCCTTGTGAAGAAGTATATAACACTAGTGTCTGTCTTACCTCAATTTTTTCCCATATCATTTCATAATTGTCTTGGTGCTGTATATCTTGCATCAATTGGTGAATTAAAGCAGACTTATTTGAGGCAGAGATCTCACTGTTCTCAGCAGGCTGAATCACTGCAGTCCTTTCTGATTTGTCTACTGCATATTTTTTAATACATGATGCAGGCATACAAAGCTCTTCATCTGAAAGAATGTCACTGAGAGGCCCAGATTCAATGCTGTCACCCAGTGAGGATACTATATCACTTGAAGAGCTTGGGGAAATCCTACCCAGTCTTTTGTGCTTTTTAATGTGGTATGTTGGATACATCTCAGAATCAGAGTTCATTTCTGACAGCTCCCAGTCATCAATATTTTGAATGGTTTCTTTTCCAGGTTTCTGTGGCAGCAGTTTTGTCAAATTTTCTAACTTCAAAGCCAACACTTCTGTCTGTCTGAGGTGTGAAGGAAGTGCTAAATATTCATCTGAACCATACCAGACCTCAGCTGCTTTATTATTTGTATTAATGTAAGTGGGTGATGATGAGTAACATTCCTTACTCTTACTTCTTGGAAGAACAGGTGACGAGTTGATAGCAGGTTCTGAGTCAGCTGAAGATGCACCCTCTTGGCTGTGTGCTGGTGAACTTGATTGTTCAATTTTACTTTGATACTGGACATTCAGATCCCTTTGATTACAAGGATCTGATGATGTGGAAGTAGAATCAGTTTCTGTTCCCTCCAGGGAGTAGGATTTACAGAGAGGAATTCCATTTCTTAGAACTGAGTGTCCTCTTTTTTCCACCGGCATTGTTGAAGCCGAGTTAGAAATGCTACCAGTTGCCCTTCTTGGAGTCACTTTCTCAAAAGTGTCATGTGACTTCTTGTGCTTTGGTTTTTCTTTCCTGGTGTAGTAATCAGATTTGCCTAAACTTAAAATACTTTCCTTAAAGTGATTTTTTATTGTATAGTCAAGGTTTCTATCACCTATTTTATATAAGCAATCATATGACTGACTGACAGCAGGTGGGCTATTAGGGTAAGAGGATTGTAAAGCCAAACAGAGCTTGGATCTGTCTGGAGGATCTAATAAGGAAGGTGTGCTTCTACTCATTTCAGTCTTTGCAATCTGAGAAATGTGATTTTTTAAATCATTGACCTCCATATCATCTTTAAATACATCTTCTTTTAGAAACAGACCACGTTTAGGCAAT